GGATATTGTTTCATCACCACTAGACGGGATACGGAGTAATATAACTATTTGGCTACTCATTATTTAAATTGTCACAACAAGATTTCTTTATACTATTACCATTCTGTTTTGAAGAGTTACAACGCTTGGTCTTGACATTAGAACAACCTATTACCATTCGACAGACGTAGGATAAGTTCGACAACAACAAGAAGTGCCGGACTTCTGGTAGTTCGATAGCCTATAGTATATCTACACCTACCAGTCATGGCGATTAGGAAGGTAGTCCTTATTCTTTATTTACGAAGAATCGTACCGTTCGGTAAGTGGTTGCTGTGACCGAAAGCACAGTTTAAATAGAGCATTTTCATCTATCGTTGACTAAAAAACAAAATGTAAATGCGTTGTAACTGTTAAGGACCAAGATGGAATGCATAGTTATAAGATTCCAGTTCTCGGCACTCGCAATACGAGAGTTCCAGGTATATATAATAATAATGTACTCTGTGTATACTAATATACACTTGCTAGTACAGTTATACTGGCTCTCAACATCCTTTAGACCTAAGTTTGCCAAATCAAAAGACCAAAATATATAAACAATTGTTGGAAATATCGGCATTTTGAGAAATAAATATAAAAAATAAAAAGTTTATTTCTTAAATTAATAGGTTACAAAAAGACTTAAAATTGTTGTTACGAAACTAATTTAAGTACGTACACTTAATATTTAGATTGCCATGTGTATTTGGCAGTGGACTTTACTGAGTCCACCAATTTGGATCCTTTAGTAGTATTCAAAAATATTTAAAGTTTAAACAAATTACTTTAAAGTTCCGTCTAATAACTAACTCAGCTTTTGTTAAAACAAAGGCTATACTTTAACTTTCCGAGAAGCTTTTTGTCTCGTGATTTTGAGTTTATTCGGGAGTCTGGAGATCATTTAAAATGTCGGGAGAATTCAGACGAATCCCGACCATCTGGCAACCCTATTTAGACCGGAACACATCAGTACACGCACTGCTGCTTGGCGTCAGAAACAAATACCTAAGAGGGTGCTAGCTATCTAGACGAACTCCTAAGTAGAAAAGAAGTAGTACAACCAACGTGAACCAATATTTTAATGCACCTATAAAAAATAAAATCAAGGAATAGCAGTCAAGTCCCGTCATCTTCTTTGCCGTACATCGCGTAGCGGCACCTCACTATATATAGTCTTAAATCTTAAGTCTTATATCAACATAATAGAATAATCAATCATTTATTCTTATAAGGCCGTAAGGTTCAGCCTGTTTTATTGTATTAAAAATGTTAACTTTTTTAATGTAATGGGTTTCCGCAAAGTAACACCTGATTGTATTAATTATATGATTTATTGTGTTTTAAGCACTTAATATGCAGTGATTATGCTCATGTTTGTCAACCTATTTTGTAAGAGGAGAAAGAATGTTTGTCTTCGAATCACAGGTAGAATTTTAAAAATTCTTCAAATCCTTTATAGATATACATAAAATATTTAGAGAAAATACCTAAGCTAGTTTTTGTGTGCGTCATAACTCATAACTGCAAAGAGTATTTTTAAACAATAACGTCGTAACGTTTCCCGAAAACAAAGGCGAAACTTTCCGAAAGCCAAGAAGGGGAATAAAGGCTAATGCGTTATTACCCCTGAAAACTAAGATGGAATGTCTCGTTGCCGGTAAAAAAGGTTATCCGATTGTCTATTATAACAGTATTATGCTGCTATTTTACGCTGGTATTTCTATGTGAACGTGCAGACATAATGCTCTCTTGGCTTGGGTTTGCGTGGCGTTAACACGTAAAAATTAAAGTCAATATAGGCAGTTTTACAGTGGGACATATTATCTTGAATTAATGATGTGTAGCTCAAGAGCCGTGGTAGTTCAGGTGGTTAACGCTCGCTGTAAATATAACATAACGCGAGTAACTTGGGTTCGATCTCCGCCGGCACCAATGAAATTGTTAATTGCAATTTTAAGTGCTGATTTACCACGTTCTCGGCAGTGAAGGAAAACATCGTGAGGAAACCTGCATCTCTGAGGAATAAGAAAAAAATATTTTGAAGACATGTGAAGTTCGCCAACACGCATTAGGGCAGCGCGGCGGACACTTCCTTGCCCTAAAACCCTCTCAGAAATTAGGGGAGGCCTGTGCCCTGCTGTGGGACTTATATAGACTGTAACTTTACTTTTACTTTAATGATGTTTTATATAATATAAAACAGCATTCATTAAAATCGTTGTATCGTTTAGGTACTTCTTTCGTTACTTCGTTTGTATCGTATGCTTAGACTTGTATAAATTAACTAAAATAACCTAATTTTTAAAAGGATTTGCGTGTTTTGTGATTACTAATTTACATCTTATATTACTAATTTACTATTACATCTTACATTTTTCTGATATGAATTTAGTACAAAACTTGATACTCAGAAATAACTAAAACGTTTACAATCCTTACATTTATTAACTTACACTACAGCCTATCAAAGCGCACTGTTGGATATAGGCACACTCATAGATTGCCTCTTATTAAGGATATTTGCCATAGTTGCTATGCCATAGTTGCTTGCCATAGTTGCTATGCCATAGTTGCTATGCCATAGTTGCTATGTTGTTTGAGTTCTTATGTTGCTATGATAGTTCTTGCACAGTTCTGTGCTAGTTGCTTGCATAGTTGCTATGCCATAGTTCTATACATAGTTGCTTGCCATAGTTGCTATGCCATAGTTGCTTGTATTTCTGCCATAGTTTGTAGTTGCCACTTAGCCGACTTATTCTAACCGCAGTTTTTATTTGATATTTAAATTAGTAAGAAGTTCTTTGATCTCCTGGTTTGTTTCGCCCTGTCGCCACTTACGTCACCCATGGAGTGTATGCTTACCCCGCACCGCCGCTACACATAATTTGTATAATAATCCTTATCCGTTAATCTTTACAGGACTATGTAACGAGACCCGCGATCAGATTGAGAAAATGTAAGTTAGTAAAGTTAGTAAGAAAGTCCATCATCTAAGTTTTTGAAATCCATGATTGAATGACGGCTCATCTTAGACTCAGTGCACGACAAAATTACATTGAGCAACGAGCAAGAATATAAATTTTAAAAGTAAAGTGACGGCCTTTATACTACGAATTTTTTACAATCATTGAAAAGGATCAAAATGCCCATGCCTAGTCATCCCTCAGGACTAAGATCGAATATCTCGTTACCAGTTTGAAAGAGAGTACAGTAAGGGTGTCCGGTTCTCTACAGTCATCATATAAAACACAACAACATTATTTTGCTGCTTTACACTGGTGTAATGTAAGAGAATGGTGGTGCTCTTCGAAATACATTGTAAACTCTATATAACGACACTCAAGGGACTGTGCATATTTTGACGCTATAGAGAGTTATGGTTAAATGAAACGAAGAAAAATCTGAATTAGAAAAAGAAAAACAATTGTTATTTGAACGCTATTGCGTGTAATCTGTTATTTTCGTCCGACGTCTTTCGCTGCACCAGTACGTGTACTTTATTTTTTTCTTAATTTATTCATATCTAGCGATATTTACAGTTTACAGTTTGAAATCTGTGAGCCACTAAGAATATGATAACGTATAGATAATCCATGACTCCTACCAACAACGGTTTACACGTGTAGGCAATCCCAGTTTGTAAACAAAACAATGGATTTCTGAGAGAGTTTGGTATGTATGTATGATGCCGACAGTCGAGTTTATTACGGGCTAGGATAATAAAGCAACAAAAGAAGGAAAGAACGTACACAGCTGTACAGTTTTTACTAACTTTTGCAACTTAAAAAGTACTTTTTATTATATTTAATTGTTCAATTGTTGTCGTGAGAGTGGGTGTAATGCTATATAGGTTGTATCATTGTATGGAAGACAACTAAACCAGCCAAAGCTGCTTTCAACGCTTTAGGGAGTTTGTCGTTAAATCGAGTAACGTTACATGGAGTTTACACTTTATTCATATTTTTCATACATGCAGGTTTTTTCAAGATTGTTTCTTCACCGCCAAGCATGTGGTAAATAGCACATATAACTGCAAGCAGAAAGCAAAGCTACTAAAATCTTATCCGTCTTGTTGCTTATTCACTAAAAATTACTTCTTTTTATTGGTATGATAAAAACTTTTTTATCTTATAGTATTATTCAAGTATTTAACTACAAATTAAGTCAGTTAATATGTACGTATATGTATGTATACACAATATTAATTATGTCGGTCGGATATTATAATTTTACGATAGAGTTGTTTAAACTCGCTTTTAGTTTTTAATCGAATTGTAATAAAGAGAATTAGGTTATCAACACAAATGGGAGAGCAATTTAACTGAAATAAGCGACACGAGTGCGCGCAATTCTCGCGAAGCGTTGGACGACTTCTCTGACACACAAACCGCGCCGCGGAAACCGATAGCGTGTCTACATTGTTTCACTCTACTTTCTTTACGAAGTAATTTCGTTTAAGGGTGTTTCTCATTTTTCGTGCACATTACGCGTCCAGGAGAAAATTCTTCATTTTTTTATTAAATATCTACATTTCTTATAAAGGAAATCAAATGTAAAAAGGTTATGCTTACATGCATGTAATATTTATAGATAAAAATAACGTAATAAATTAATGATAAATAAAAAACTTCAATAATTCTCATTATCTTCGGTGTCCATTTACTACTTTCCTATAAAAAAATGTATTTTTAACCAAAAATATAAACATTAAATATAAAAAAATAACTATATTATGAAACTTTATTAAAAAGCACAAATCTCACTTACACTCTCACTTAATCAGCTCTAAGCCTCATACATAATTCATATCTAAATCGTTTGGATTACGGTAATAGTAATTCTTGTCAATGGTGTCTAAAAAAAATATTTTTCAGAGAAAGGTTCGCTACCTACATAAAAAATAAATAGGCATTTTGAAACAAGAAATAGAAAAAACGAAGAAACAGAGAGATGGCATTGGAAAAATGTTGTATAGAATAATGAAAAATAAGAAGAAAAATGAAAATAGATCGACTGAAGAAAAAGTAGAACAATTAGTAGAAAATGTTAGTACACAAAAGCGTGAAGAAATTAAAGAGCGACTAATGTTTGGTGAAATACTTTCAAGAAGTGTTGGAGAAGGGTACAAGTGCTTGAGAAAAAAGGATAAGAAAGAATTCTCTAATGTAGTTATGACGGAAAAAGAAAAGTTTAAAAAATATAAACTCTAGACACAAACAGAAATATTTGCAGTTAGAGATAAAAAAGAAAATAAGACAGCTAAAAATGAAAACTTGAAAGAGCAACTAATTTTGGAGTTTTTTGACGATGAGGAGATGACTAAAATTGCAGCTGATAGAAAAGAAGATAAAACTAAAAACCAAATAAGGAAGCAGAAAAGATACTTAACGGACACAATAAATAATTTGTACAAAAATTTACGCATAATTCGAATGTCACAGTAACGTATCAAAGATTTTGTAAATATCGCCCATTTTGGGTTTTATACCCAAAGGAGTCCAGTAAAAATACGTGTGCTTGCAAAGTTCATATTAATGTCAAATACTAAAATAATGTAACAGGACGGGTGTTTTAGAAAGCTTATGTTGCAACGTCTACGATGAAAATCCCTCATCATCCCTATCCTTTAACTTAACTACTTAATATCATTCCCCTCCTTGACGTTCTCATTACCGTTTCATTACGATTTTTGATATGATAGTAATTTTATTCTTATCTATACAAGGAAGGTAGAAACCACAAAAAGTTGAAGGATTTTATGGATATTAAAGATATTGGGGGAAAAAAAGAAGTTATTCGGCAATAAATTTGACATTCACAAATGTCGTGGAATTTGCACGAAATACGCGAAACACCCTTAAAGTCGATTCAATTTGTATGTTTACTCAATTTACATAATTTTCTCAAGTAACTTAAAAATATAAAATCGATAAAATTAGTCTTCTTCAGTTAAGAGTATTATTTAAAAAAGTAAGATTATAACAATAATGTGTATGCACCGATTGTATATATTTTAAATCATACTACAGTCGCATGAGTAAAGAAACCGACACCTTACTCTGTGCTACAGTGTCGTTATATTTTAATGAAAAATATCCAGAAGCAGGTATTTTCTGAGTTTTTTGAAATTTTTGCTGTCATTATTTAGGGAGAGCTGATCTGATGTTCATAGAATGCCACCCTTGAAATCTGCCATCCTAAGTCATGGTCTTCTTAGCCCCGACGCATCTCCACTAATATCTCAACAATTCAAAATTCAGAGTTTAAAAAGACGAATCTACGCTTACATTTTGAAGCGATCTTTGAGATTTAATTTACCTGGTCTTTATTTTTGAGGCGCATAATAATTAAACTTAAAGTAACTTACAAAAACCGTAATTTAGCTCGGCATCTTCCAAAACAGTGCACATAACTTTTGTAGCTGAGGTTCCCCGGTTGCCGCTTCTCGAAACTTTATCGAATGCATCCTGTCTTGGAACTTTTGGCATCCGATGGGAAAAAATGCTGAAAATTCGACGGTAATGACTATAAGGAACGAACGTTACTACAAAATACTCAAAAATATGTACTATACATAATAAATATATACATATAATAAAAATGATGTAAAAATACGTTTTCAATCATGTATATATATACCGTAACTAACATACTATTAATGAAACGGAGTTTACAGATTTTATCGCGTTTATTTTTAACCGCAAAGTATCATGATGTGTGACGCGCATTACAAAGCAACAGTAAATAGACACGTTGGATTCCGTGTTCTATCTTTGCGATTTGCATGCCCCACATCTGTGTGCGGTGTTATACAGGGGAGATCATAGATGTGTGCGAGTCGATTGACATAAAGGAGCTAAATGCTGAAGTCTGGATCGTTTGAAACTACGTACTACATACTCATAATAAAAATGATGTAAAGAATACTGTTACGAGCTTAAGGTTCGTGGCGATAAAAAATGCCGATTGAATTACCAAAATTGATACTTTAATTACTGAACACCAATTAAAACTTAAATCTCACTAATAATTATTCACACTTGAAACTTTATTTCACTCCGAAAGCTTCGCTCGTATTTCCAATTCAATACTGCCCCGGTCGCAGCCCTAAACGGCTTTATATAGGCCTTTTCCACCGAAACATCTAGAATGTTCCAGCAAATACCGGTCGCGACCGACTAGGTGTAGAAAATTCAAGTGTCGAGTTTTCTAGAAAGCTTAGTTCTTCTATTCGATACTAGATGGCGATAGTGGGAGAGTTCTAGAAAGATCTTGACACTCCTATTTCTGATACTTGATACCAGATGGCGCTAATAAACCCGCCATATACCGGCTTAATTGTGGCGCGCAACAATACGTTTATTTGCATACCTAAGTTCATTCACTATACTATACTGGTAACATTTTATCACAGTCCTCACGGGTGACAACGAATCTGTGAATCAACGAATTTTGATCTTAATCAAAGATAGATGAAGACATCTATAGGCTACAGTATCAGGTGATTGTGTGATAGTTTGTCACCATTCTAATATAAAAAATCAAACTTTTACAGTTGAGCAAAAACTTTTTGAAGATTGTAAAAAGACTGCATTTCTTAAAAGATTTTTCAGTACTCACCACGAAGGGTTGAATAGTTGGTGAGTAAAGAACCTTTGAACTGGTAATGCTCATTGTCAGTGAGTTGATTGGCAAGTTTCGTTCGTTGATTGGTGCACCAAAGCAAGGTTCATCATGTGCTGGCTAGGTTGGTCTTTGTAGAAGCTGATAGGCACACAAACACGTTCTTTTCGTGGTAGCGCCACGCTGAGCAATATACAGAATACCAGGTGGGGTTAGAGAGTGAGTGTAGAGAAGAGATTTCCTTTGAACTGGTAATTCTTTAGTGAGTATCAGTTTGTTGATTGTAAATGTGCATCATGTGCTGGCTAGGTTGGTCTTTGTAGAAGCTGATAGGCACACAAACACGTTCTTTTCGTGGTAGCGCCACGCTGCAGCAATATACAGAATACCAGCGTGAGGTTAGAGAGTGAGTGTAGAGAACCGGAGAGCCTTTTTACTTAAAACAAGGCATTCCGTCTTAGTCGTTAAGGGTGACAACGCTTTTGCATTTTGATTCTTAATCGAGGATGAATGTAGATGTCTTTGGGCTACAGCTTCCACTGACCATTAGGTAGACTGTGTGCTCGCTTGTCACCCTTATGCTATAAAAAAAGAACGTCTGCATCTCTTACCAAGTCGTCACTCTAAATAAGCTAAATAGTTATTGTATTTCTTCTTCCACCACCTTCTTTACCAGCACGTAAAAGTAAACTGCTGGGCTTGGGGGCTCCCTTCTTGGAGGGAGGATTTGCCACAGACGTCACTGTTTATAAACCGAATGGTATTTTAATATACTGCGGTTAAAGAAAAAATGTTATTAAAAATTAATGAATAATAGTGTCCTCCAGACCAAATCACCGTAGACCAAGTCACGGTGACCGATCTCTACAGAGACTAGCTATCCACGCGATATAGAGCTGGAGAGTATACACGAGCGCAGCTGCGTTCTCCATTCCCTTACTGTCAACAGAAATCAGGCGCAAGATTAACGGTGATCCCGGGGTATGGAGGTGAAATACCGCCAACTTCCTGATTCTGGTCTGCTACTGAGAATTCACACGGAGTGAGCAGTCGCGCTTACACTTACTAGTCAAACGAGTCCAACGAGAAGTCGGTGTTAAGATACATGTACCTACACATAATTGAAGTTCTTTTACTTTTAACTATAAGTTTCTTTACCCTTTCGATTGCAATATGAAATATCACGATCTCAATGTCGTCTCAGTAATTCCATTAAAAAATATCATTGCCTATTTTGCCACCTTTTGCAATTTTTTCTTCAAATGTAAATATAACAAGATGCGAGTAACCCGGGTTTGATCCCCGCCGGCACCAATGAAATTGTTAATTGCAATTTTAAATGCTGATTTACCACGTGCTCAGCGGTGAAGGTAAACATCGTGAGGAAACCTGCATGTATGACGAATAAGGAAAAAAAGTATTTCGAAGACATGTGAAATCCGCCGACACGTATTGAGGCAGCGCGGCGGACACTTCCTTGCCCTAAAACCCTCTCAGAAATGAGGGGAGGCCCGTGCCCAGCAATGGGACGTATATAGGCTGTAACTTTACTTTACTTTTACCCCTTAAGTATAACCTATTTAATTGAAGAACAAAAAACTTCAAAATCGGTTCACAATTGACGAAGACTGCAAAAAAAGTCTAATTGTCATCATCGTTCATTTTTTGATGTCGGTTAAAACGAAATTGATTTAAAATAAATTACTTTTTAATTTAAATCAATTATCAAATAATTAATTATTAATCACTAGTTATAATTACGCAATGTAAACAATGTGAGGCAAGTTCGCACATCTCCAGCGTGACTGCCGTCAGAGCTGCCGTGAACTGTCGAGAGTGACGCAACGCGTTGTGAAAGCTGATACGGTGGAATTGGGTTAACCGCGACAGCAGCGGGCCGCTCGCTCCGGCACGCGTCTCCGTGTTTATTTTTGTTGAATATACTGTCAACGATGTTACGTTTTATCCATTCATAATACAGTCAAAAGTCTGAACATACATTCCTGCTGCGGAGGACCTTGTGAGAAGAAGCGGTAAGGAACTCACAAATATACTATTTTCTCGCAATAAATGCAATTTATTCATCGAAATTGTTATATACTTATATTACTACTTATATTTTTTTCTGTCGGTAACGCAATGAGTTTCATTTCCGTCCTTTTACTGTGTAAATGTAAAATTTTATTAATAACTCGACCACAGCCCTACCTGTCGGCTTCATATTTAAAGATTTGCTTTATTTGCACTAAACTGATATAATATACTTTAAATATGATTCATTTTCGTTCATAAATATAGAATGTATTAATAACTTGACTATCGGTCAAGACGTTTGGAAGCTGCACGATCATTAAAATATGCACCATCAATTACACTATACGAAGTCATACAAGAACTCGTCTAAAGTATGTATTTAGATAAAAAATAGTATTTCTTAAAGTAGGTACAAATGTCATAGCAACTAAAAAACTACGTGATGTTCAAAATAGAACTCGCATATTATAATTGTTGATTAACGCTTACGTAAATTAGATAACAATTATTTCTGTCGGTCTCTTTCTATTGTTTTATATAATATAGAGAAAGAGAGCAACCTAAACATTTAAATTACGTCGATTTTATGAGTAACAGCCTGAGAAAGGCATCTACGTAAGAAACTTCGTATGACAAGTCCGAAATAAACGTTATGTGCACACAATGAAACATTAATATGTATAATTTTTAATCGTATTTTGTATTTTTAATAGTGTGTTTTTAATGGTGTTTTTAATAAAGTGTTATTCAATATATAAGTATCAAACTGTAGTTTTTATTATGTATTTTTATTATGTTTATTGCTCAATGACCTCAATAGTGCCTCCCAACGGATAGGTCTTAAGATGAACATGGACAAAACAAAGATCATGTTTAATGTCCATGTCACACCTATGCCGGTAGTTGTTGGGAGCACTATGCTCGAAGTTGTTGACGAGTACGTTTACCTGGGACAAATAGTCCGACTAGGTAAGTCCAACTTCGACCGAGAGGTCAATCGACGGATTCAACTCGGCTGGGCAGCGTTCGGGAAATTACGACACATCTTCTCGTCAGGTATACCTCAATCTCTGAAAACTAAAGTGTACAACCAGTGCGTGTTGCCAGTGATGACTTACGGATCAGAGACGTGGCCCTTCACTGCTGGCCGTATGAGGACGCTCAAGGTCGCTCAGCGAGCTATGGAGATGGCTATGCTCGGTGTTTCTCTGCGTGATAGACTCAGAAATGAGGATATCCGCAGTAAAACCAGAGTGACCGACATTAGCCCAACGGATTAGTAAGCTGAAGTGGCAATGGGCCGGCCATATAGCTCGAAGAACCGATAACCGATGGGGAATAAAGGTTCTCGAGTGGCAGCCTCGTACCGGTAGGCGTAGTGTAGGGCGACCCCCCACTAGATGGAGTGACGACCTGGTAAGATATGCAGGAAGTCGATGGATGCAGGTGGCTCAGGACCGTGCTTTGTGTCATTACTTGGGGGAGGCCTATGGTCAGCAGTGGACTTGTGAAGGGTTGTAATGATGATGACGATGATGATGATTATGTTCCCTTGCTATTCTCGTCATCTTTATTGCACTCTTACTTACAAACCACCACATTACTGTTTCTAATCCGGCCAATAATTAGAAATGCGCTTACTACGAGTATTTCAAAACAACAAAAACATAAATGATAAAGACTAGCAGCGCTTTTGCCCCGCCCTTCGGCCAAACGGGTCAAGTTCATTTTCGATAAATCTAGAATATAAATTGTAAGTATCATAAACTTTACAATTTAAGATAATTTTTTATATTGAAGTGATTTAGTTTATAAATAATCGCAGTACTTTATCGATCACTCAATGACCCGATTGACGCTGTGGAATTCTGTTGGAGATTAATATTGTTATTCCGGGCGGCAAGCGACTGCGACACGGCTTTGACCCAAACTTATTTAGGTCAAGAGGAATCGATCTATTGCAGCTTTTTAAACTCTTAGTACCTATTGAATTATGTAAAGATTTAAGAAGTGATGTATGAGGCCACATAAATTTTCGGTGAACGAACAACTAATCGAAACTTAACACGTTATAATTTACTTGATGTATTCAAAAAAATATTATACGTGGTAGAGCCACGCCACAGCCATTTTATGTTTGTAGAATGGGTCTACTCGACCGGGGTAGGATCACGCTCTCACAGAATACTTTACGCTGCTAATTTACGCTAAATTAGCAGCTTAATGCTGCTATGTGGAAATGATCCATTTCCATCTTAGTCCCCAGAGGTGACAGCACAACTGCAGTTTGATTATTAATCGAGGATAAATTAAGATGTCTATGGGCCACGGCATTTTCTTTTTTTGTAGCACTGGGTGACAAACGAGCACACGGTCCACCTGATGGTAAGTGGATGCTGTGGCTCATAGACATCCACATTTTTCCTCAATAAAGAATCAAGATGTAAATGCGCTGTCATCCCTGCGATACTAAGATGGAATGGCTCGATTCCAGTAAAAAGGGTCTCCGGTTCTCTACACTCACCATACGAAACACAGCAGCATTACGCTGCTATTTTAAGCTGGTATTCTGTGAGAGCTGCCCCGGTTGAGCCGACCCATTCGTGCTACAACTATAATATAACTGCAGCGAGGCTCTACCACGTGAAACACACATCCACTTACCATCAAGTGGAATGTGCGCTAGTATATAACTAGTATATATAGTATATAACCCTATATCAACTTGTGGGTGTCGTAGTCATAAAAGACATCAGAGAGAGAGGGAGAGAGAGAGAGAGAGAGAGAGAGAGAGAGAGGGAAGGGAAACTGATTCCGGGCAGCAGCTTTTCGATAAAAAACTGCGGTTGCTAACCTACCAGTCAAGTGTGGCAATTATAGCAAGTGACTCAGCTACTACTATGCTTAGTGGTCGTCAAATATGAGCAGCACATTAAGTATAAATTCACAATATCTCAAACACTGTTTTGGCGGTCACATTAACTTGACGCATCGCTGGAATGCGAGACTCCTCCCGCTTCCCCCCCGCACTCCCTTAGCTCGCCCGGCAATCGTCAGTATGGTTAGCATCTCTGTTACCGATTCGCGCGTCGATATTTTGACTAGTTTTCAGTTGCTATTCTTGTTATTGGATATTTTGTTACGTTTTCGTTATTGAAGTTTGGCTGTTTTTGGACATTTTGTTACGTTTTCGTTATTGTTTAAGTTTGGACTGTTTTTGTTGATTTTGGACTATTTTTGTTACTACTCATTTTTTAACATGGGGAAAACTATACACAGTGAAGGGAGAAATCTTGTGTTGAAAGTACTGAAGTTTTTCGAGAATGAGAAGAAAAATAAACGCTTTTGCATACCTGTAGATCAGGTTGATATACGAACAAAAAATGATAAATGAAAAATTGTCGTGGATGATTTTGATATTTGCGCAATACGCAATATCATCAACAGCTTTTATACTGTAAAAAAGGAAGTACCCACGCTTAAAAAGATGCAGATTTGTTATACAAATGCAAAAGTACTACTGGCGATTACCATCATGAAATGAATACCGAGAATTTTTTGAAATGGCTTAATGAAAAGCTGATACCAAACTTGCCCCCAAATAGTATAGTCGTCATTGACAACGCGTGCAACGTTAAAAGACATGACCATGAAATTTTACGTTTGCCACCCTACCATTGTGACCTCAACCCCTTTAAATACGTCTGGAATTTGGTCAAACAGAGGGTGGCATACAAAAACGTAGACCAACAAGAAAGAAAAATTGAAAATCTCACCAGAAATGCAATAAACTCCATCACAGCATCAGACTGGAAAAAAGAAGTTAACCATGTCGAGAGACTACAATAGGTCAGTTTGTAAATAAATTATAAGTCTAAAGTATGTATGTATGTATATATTTATGTTTATATTGTGATGTTAAATAAAAATATAAGTACTTTTTTGGAGGTACATATTAGTAATTCACTAAATTGATAGAATTATTTTGTGGTAAATTTATAACACTATTTTATTATTTTCAGGAATACTGGGAAAAAGATGGCCTAGTCGACGACGTACTGCAGCAACTTGTAATCGATCTTGGAGGAGAGGGGTCATCCGACAGCGAGTTCGAAAGTGAAGAAGAAGACTTTTTAGACCATGATATTGTACCAATTATTTATAGTGAAGATGAATTTTGAATAAATATTTATCTATCAACATAAAATAGTTTTAAATTATATTGTATAAAAAATACATGATGCAACATATTGCAAGATTAACAAATAAAACCTATGCTCCAAAATCAAAAATATAGTTTTTATTTAGTTACATGCTTTTTTTCGCACCGTACCTGACCGCCAAAATGACGTCATCAAAGCCATGCGTCAAGTTAATGTGACCGCGTTGTATACATTTCTCTAAAATTTAATGAAGTTGAACAATTGTCATTGTGCTACGTTTTTTACGAGGTTTGGAATTCTACTTTTCCTGATTTATGAGAATTAGCACCAAAAATTAGTTACTGCTATTATCTCCTCTATGATGCTATCTATGGGGGAGCTACGTTCAACAGTGCACTTTGGTAGACTGTTACGATAACGATAAGGAAATATTTTATATTAATAATTATAATTATTAAGTGTGATTAAGTAACACTGCTTAAAAATAAATATTAAGCTTAAAATTACATTTCCTACTTAGGCGACCGATGTCATAGTAGATCACATTGACAAGCGATCTCTTACGCAATAGCAGCTATTTAGTTAAAACGATAATAAACACACGCATAAGTTACTCTGTTGTTAATTTCTAACATAGGATGAAATCATCATTATCAAGTCGTAATCAGACCGTTGTCAGACATAATTTTATATTCAATATCAGGCTTTGATAATGCACTATTAGATACAGCTTTTTCAATAATGTGCAAATTGGCACACAGATGATATTCCGGCATTCATCAACATCGCAAAACCTCCCTAAAGTATAAATCATGCTCATCGTACTCTATGATGAATATTCGAATTTATATACAACTAATTATTATTATATAAATATATAATGGTTATAGCACGAATGGGTCGGCTCATAGAAATATAAAAACTTCTTTATTATATCTATGGATCGGCTCGACCAGGAAGGGCCACGCTCTCATAGAATACCAGCGTAAATTAACAGTTTAATGCTGCTGTGTTTCGTATGGTGAGTGTAGAGAAACAGAAACCCTTTTTTACTGGTAACGAGGCATTCCATCTTAGTCTTCAGGAGTGACAACGCATCTGCATTTTGATTCTTAATTGAGAATAAATATAGAAGTCTGTGGCCACAGCATTCACTTACCATCAGGTAGGTTATGATGTGTTTGTTTGGCACCTTAACTTGTTGAAAAAACTAAAGTTTATACGTAGAGACTGACGATATCCTTTATTATAGAGTTTCTTAATTGTTTTATCACCTACTATAAATATCTTTTCGGCATATCGTTGCGAAATTTAATTTACAATATGCAATTATCTCAAACACATTTATATTCAAATGATAATGTGTTCGAATTACTACTAATTTGTTGTTTTTATAAATCGACGTTGTACTTACCATTTATCAATGTGATTTAGAAAGTAAAACACATTTAAAATTGATATTAATAATTTCATTGTTTCCGAAAAGGATCGAATCCTTTGAGTATTCTCAAAGATCGAATCCGAGCTGCTGACGTACTGAGTTTATAGAATGCGCTTAACCTTGAGCTACTACGACTCTTTCGAAGACATGTGAAACTGAATTCCGTCAACACGTGCTGGAGCAGTTGTGGGACGTATACAGAGTACAGACGTAACTTTAGGTACTTTTTTACATATACAATTAATAATAACATAATTCGTATACGTATGTTTAAACGAGACGTAACGTAGAGTTGAACTTGGCCTTTGAATTAAACGCTATATAGGTCAGTGTCAGTGCCTGCGGCTGCATTCTGCTAGCTAACGGTCGATTGTTGTCAGCTGCGAGTCGTACTCTACTCACACACAAAACTATTACTCGTAGCGTAGCGGAGCGTGCTCAGCTCACACTTACATTTATATATAACAAAAACATTTGTATACGATCGTTTCTTAAAATGATTAAAAAAAATGTATATTTCAAAGACGTAAAATCTTGTTTGTGATACTACTACTAATAATAATTATTATAATGTCCTTCCAGAATCCGAATTCCGAACGATCGGTAACGTCGGCCAGCCTTACAGCCTTCGACAGGCCTGTTGGTCTAGTGGTTAGTGACCCTGACTGCTAAGCCGGAGGTCGTGGGTTCGATTCCCACCCAGGACAAATGCTTGTGTGATGAGCACGATCATTTGTTCTGTGTCTGGGTGTAATTTATCTATAATATTTATGTATTTAAAAATATATAAGTATGTTTATCAGTTGTCTAGTACCCATAACACAAGCTCTGCTTAGCTTGGGACTAGATGGCGTTGTGTGATAGTTGTGGAATATTATTATTATTATTATCAGACTAGTCATCAGCGCAGGACAGGGCTAAAGTCTCCAAGTGTCTCCAAATGTATGTGCAAGCACAGGTACACTCTCTATTCCCTTAGTATGAAAGTCCGATGGAACGGTTATCCGACCGGAGATAAATCAGGTGCAGGGCCATAGACTTTACGTGCTTTCCGGGGCACGGAAATGAAACACCGCCAATTTGATGACTAAAGGCTGCTAATGTGAATTTGTTGACAAAAATCCCAATAATCGTGATTTGGCCCAACCCGGAATTCGAACCCAGGTCCAATCCAGTCAATATAAGATTATTATAGTGTTATTGCTTTCGTTAATGTAATATCTTTGATGTTTTACATTAATCATTCCGTAATAACTTTGTACAAGCGTTCTCACACGATTTAAAATAACATTTTACATATATTCAAAAATTTCTATATTTCATTACAATATACACCTATAGTTCTTTATCACTAATTTAAATTCAAATCTTTCAAACTAAGCAAAATATTAAAAAAATTACCGGAATCAAATTTATGCTTGACGTTGTTACAACGATATAAATATTATGCACCTTACCGTAGTGTTTGGTGATTGGAATTCATGCTAATGCGAATAATCCGTAAAAATATTCAAATAATCGAACCTTTGCATTTTTATTTATTACCTATCTATTTAAATTTTTATTTTTAGAGTTGCATATATTATATGTATCGTGAATTGAACAAGTATAATTTCCTTATAATTTCTGTTCATCCCACTGTGGCGAAGTTACGACTAAGTTTAGAAGTTGCCGGCTTGTAAAATGGTAGCATAGTCATTGACAACCATTTGAAAAGGAATTCGCTTCTGATATAAAAATATCGACAAACGGAAAATAATTATTTAAAGACATAAATTCAAATAAATTACGTTTTCACGACAAATTAAAAATATAACCAATTGAGGCAACTATATTTTGATTGATGGGAAAAGGTAGACGCCTCATAATTTGTCATGTGGGATCCGCCCATAGAGAATATTTGGATCCGCCGGATGAAGGCTTGTCGCAAATATAACCACTACAAGGAATGACTGGGACAAAGTAATGGAGAAATCAGAGAAAATTGTTGTGGACGATTATCTTTATATGGAAGAGACATTCATTTTGATTGCATTACAGAAAATCAGGTAATAAATAATAATTAATGTAAAGAACGTGATGACAACAGATCGTCTTGTTGTACTGAAAGTGATTAAATAAATAAATTTTTAATCTAGTGCAGTACTTAATCTAAGTATATAACTTTATCTCTATAAATTAGCACTAAGCACCCAAACAGTATATGAAAAAACTGATAAATTTTATGGGTTTATTTATGCGTTTTTCATTTATTCTGGTATTAATCTAGATGACACTGTAAATGATTACCAACTCTAAAGATTCGTTATCGATATCTTTTTAAAATCGAATATTATAGAAACCGATTTTTTAGTTGGAATGCCTAATCCAATAAATGTGACAGATGTCAAAAGGCATTTCTTAGATTTGGTGGAGTCCATGAAGTTTAAATTTCAATTTTAAAAAGGTTACTCAGGAATAGTAAGTTGTAGTAACTAAAACTAACTAACTAAAAAGCAGTTAAATAACGATCGCTAGATGAAAGTCGCTTTAGAATCGCATAAAAGCACCTCAAACCGGTTAACACGTACCGCACTGCTTGAATGTAGACCAGTGCACGCCGCTGTATAACCAATGACGTGTCATATGAGTTTCTAGCTTTTTAGCCGACTTCAAAAAAAGGATGATCTCAATTATTTTTGTATGTATGTTACTCGATAACTTCGTCAATTGTAAACCGGTTTTAATGATTTTTTTTTCTTATATTAAATAGGTTATACTTTGGAAATCAAGTTTTGATAAATGGGGTGAAGTTTTAATTTAACTTTTTTTTTAATTTTGTTGCTCTTGGATGTCAGAAAAAATGGCACCAATTGTTAAAACCTTATGCGGAGAGGTGACAACACATCTGTAGCCCTCTTTATTCGTTGTTTGCAGGCGTCTGTGGCGTGCAGTGGCCCCCTGCCATGAGGTGGACTGTAAGCGAGTTTGTCAATTCAATTTTATAAAAAAAAAATGTTTAAAAGTCGTAGTGTTTCTTCACGATATTTTCACTATATTTTATACAGTGATAGACTGAAATATTTATATGCCATGCCTTGGTGTTATTTGTAAAACATAACGCAGAACCTACCTATTGATCAAAGATATACATAGACTACATATTTTTTATAAATATGGATAAAAATACAATCAAATACGAAAGTAAATAACTTTCGTATTCGATACGTATTAAAAACTTTTTCGCTTTCGTAAAATGATATGTAGATATATAAAAACAATTTTATGTAACAAATAAAAAGAATATCTATAAATTTGCTATTAATATGATAAACTCTGCGTTAATTTTACTAAACACCAAAACATTCTGAATAAATAAACACATCATGGTACCTATCTTATCGAGCTGATGACCGGACGATGAGCCATGACGCTAGCAGCAAACACAAATATTTGGGACAGTCAAAAAATGTTATCAACTATTTGCCGAAATAAATGAGTCGTACAATTCTGAATTAAACAAACACGTTGCTGTTGCTTTGATCATTTAAATGAAAAACAATAAATGACGTTGGAACGAGCAACTAACATTTTTGTA